CCCCAAAACCCCAAAACCCCAAAACCCCGTAAAGGAGATTTGAATGAACATAAGATAATTTGTAAATATTAGTCTAAATTTGATATAATTAGTCAAATTTATTGGAGACTCCTGCATCAATATAGCGGCTTTTCATCAATTAAATCACTGAAGAATGTTATTACGATAACTGAGAATGGCATGAAGTAATAGTAGTAAGTCTCATAGAACAATCTGAGGACTCCATGAACCAAAGTTGATAATCTGAATCTCTTGGAGTAATAGGATCGTACTGGTTTCTTGTCATTAATTTGAAGATTAACTTTCTCGTCATTGTCTTCAATAAGTTTCTTGGAAGAATTGTTATAGAGAGTTCCAGCATAAATGTTATCGATTTCAGCAATAACTCCAAGAGCAATAAAATTCATAATAACATTTTGCACGGAGTCTTGTTGGCAGATGAGGAAGATGTTGATGACTTCCGTACCAATTGCCCCCAAAAATTGCATAAGACTAATGATAATCATAGGAATTCTATATTTACTGTGGAACACCATAAGTCTTGCATAGTTGAGCATCTGAAGTGATTGTCTTAATTCACCTTCAAGTTGCATATGTAATAGTGCAGCACATAAGATTCTAGTTAATAGAATTTCAAAGGTCACATCAGTGTTTGTAGTTTCTTTTTTGAACTGATCTAAAACTAAGTACACTAAGAGAGCTTGAATCAAAAAAATGAAGGCGCTGTTGCTGAAATTTTTGTTGGCTTCAGCATCTGTGTTGTGGACGATTTCATTATTCTCATCACCATCATTTGACTCTTCATCCTCATCAGCTTATTGAATCAAAGGCTGCTAGTTAGCCTGTTCATCTACTCTAGGAAGGGCAGCATCTAGTCTTTAGAAGCTAACAAATGTGATTGCGTAGATATCAACATTGAGAGACACAGAGTTCATAAAATGGTGAATTAGTGTTCTCTTCTTGAGTTTTTCTTTTTAGGTAAAGAATTCTTCTTCATTTCCCCATTTCACTGCTGCCCAGTTGGTAAGATAGGCAATAATGAAGGCGAAAACAATGAACAAGAAGATCAAAATCCAATATCTGATGAGATCCTCATACTTATCTAGAATTGCAGTTTAAACGCTCATAAATAGAATGTCCAATATGATCAAAGCATAGATTGCGTATTTGCTTTTATCGTACCAGACTGGGAAGCTTATCTTGGTGAAAAGATCAACTACAGTGTGCAAAAGTGAAATAAAGAATAGCACAGCCAAGATGATTACTGAATATTTAAATGACATCTTTCCTTCTGGTGTCTCTTCACCTTTTACCAATACATATACTGAAATGGAGAATACGAGAGCAATGAAGAGATACTCTTGAAGATATTTGTTTATAAGAGACAAGAAGTCTTGGTTTTGCTTATCCTTGTGCCAGAATGAGCGCTTGCTGACATTCTTGGAGATAGTTTTTTGCTTTTTAAAGCCTTCGTTCTCATCATCATTCCCATCTTGTTATTAATCTGGTGAGCCATTGGTCTCTAGCTCAGCTTTATCTTGTTTATCTACTATGACAGAAGATTTGCCATGCATAGAAAAGATGGCTTCAACGATTGGAAACTCATCAATGTGAGTAGGAATTTCCAATTTAAAGAAGTGTTGAAGCACCAAGAAAAGAATAGTTAGGATAACAGTCATATAGTAGAAAGATATTTCTAACATCAACCATTACTAAGAGTTGATATTTTTTCTGATTAATTCTGGATCAGAAGTAGCATTAGCCTTATCGTCGTAAGTTGAATTAAGATACTTAACCTAGGCGTAGAATATAGCTGCTTAATAGAGTGCACAGTTAAAGAAGTTGATGGTAAACTTTAAGACACCTAGTTTACGACCACAAATCCCGGTCAAAATTTTGATGTATTCTAGAGCATAAGAGGTAATATGTACCACAAACATGACTCCAATGGCAGTGTCTCTGTTAGAGTAGTCAAACTCATCTCTGGCCAAACATACTCCCAGTGCTAGTGCAAAGGCAAGCTGAAGGAAGAGAATTTAAGAAGTGATTTTATATCCCTGAAGAGGATCTAGAAGCTTCATATTTTATTTAATCTTTACTGAATACGAAATAATTACCTTAAAAGATACGTCTTATTTAGAAACGTGGGGTTTTGGGGTTTTGGGGTTTTGGGG